GAACCAAGTGCTGGGGATAAAGAGGCAAAGAAGACAGATACAGATCTGTATCTCTTAGACTTAATTAAGTGACCTTTAAATGGAAGAGAGGGGTGAATTAAACTAAATCCGTGTGTCAGCAATGTGCAGAACCAGAATCAATAGTCATACAAATATATTTTTTAACAGTTAAGGAAAAGTTAACATTTCCCATGGCTGTGTAGCAGTCAGGTTTATTATACGGTGAGCTCCCTGTAACTAGACATCCTTCAGCAAAAGCCTAAGGGCCAACTGTCAGAAGGCATTAAAGAAGGATTTGAGCATCCTTGTAAGAAGCTGAATTAAACAGCCTCAGGAGTTCACTCATTTTTACCATCTTTCTTTTCCCAGTGCACACTATGGAAAAAATAGCTTATATTATCAAAATACTTTGGATTATCTGAAAACCCAAAACATTAATTTCTCATCACCTTGCTACTAAAAATATTGTCTTTACAGGTTAATTTACCAATTCTGAAATGAATGATCATCAGTACTGAAATAAAAGAAGACAGAATAAATGTGACTCAATTAATTCTAGTGGGACTTACACAGAATCACCAGACACAGAGAACTCTATTATTTTTGGTGTTACTTATCACATACGTTGTCACTGTCATGGGCAATCTGCTCATTGTGGTTACTATAATCTGCACCAAATTTTGGACTCCCCCATGTATTTTTTTCTCTGACCTTCTTGTCTTTGATAGATTCATGTTATTCCTCTTCCATTATCCCTAAAATGTTAACTGATTTTTTTCCCTCATTCAAAAACTATCTCCTTCAGTGGCTACATGACACAGCTTTTCCTGAACATTTCTTGGAAGCTTCAGAGACTGTGCTTGTGGTCATGGCCTATGACCGCTACCTGGCCATCTGTAGACCTCTGCACTATGTGATCATCATGAAGCAGCACACATGCTGCCTCCTGGTGGGGGTGTGTTGGGCAGTCAGTTTTCTCAACTCTATTGGACAGATCCTAGTCACTTTCTGGCTCCCATCCTGTGGCCCCAAATACATGGGTCACCTCATGTGTGACATTTTCCCCTGATATGACTTGCCTGCACTAACAATTTCCTTGGTCTCTTGGTTGTTGCCAGTGGTGGGATAAACCCTGTGCTCAGATTTATAATGTTATTGGTATCTTATGTGGTCATCCTGTGCTCCCCAAGGACTCACAGCTCTGCAGGGTGGAAAATAGCCCTGTCTACTTGTATACAGCTCCAACATCACAGTTGTTTTGTTGTTGGTGGTGGTGGTGGCACTTTATAGTTTTATGTATCTGACCAGTAGCCACTTTTCCTATGGATAAAGCCCTAGTGGTATTCTGTACTCTTGTTACTCCCCTGTTAAACCATATTATTGACACAGTAAGAAATGTAGGAGTAAAAAATGCCATTAGAATGTTATTAAACAGAAATGCAATTTCAGATAAATGACCCAGTATGAAGACTTATTTCTATTAGGATCTTTATTTTTTCACATTTTATTGCTATAAATCCCTTCCAAAACCTGTCATCAGGTGCTGACACCACGTCTGCAAGGTAGGGGTTATTAGGACTATTCACATTTTACAAGTAAAGAGAAATGAGGTTCAAAAAAGTTAATAACCTGCCCAAATCAAAGACAGAACTAGGATTCAGATTTGCTTTCTTATAAATCCAAATTTGACACTCTTTTAATGATTTCAAATGATATCAGAAATAACACAGCATTTTGTCAGAACTTCTCTTCTTTTGCAATAACTGAAAACTTTTCCTTTCTAATTACAGAATTATATGATGCACCTCTGTATATAAGCAGCTGTTACTCAGAAAGCTGTGTGGCCTGTTGGTATCTAGGATGTGGAATATATTATAGAAATAAGATACTTGCCAATGTTCCCTTGGCACACCCCTGACATACCTAATATTAAAAATTATATTGGATTTCTTATTCTATTTGGTAAAAGTTGTCAGTGAATATAAAAATTGATTTTACTGTATAAATACTGATGTGAAAAATTTTTAAGTGTAATCAAATTGTCTCAATAGCACTATAAAACTAAAATTTAATGTTCTTCTTTTATTAAAAAAATGGAAAATCAGAAAATTTAAATTACTAGACTCTAGAACATGAAAGTCAGCTTTGAGCCCAAATATTCTTATTCCACACCTTGTGATCTTTTCATTATACAGAATGTGGGGGGGCTAGTATTTGATTATGTTTTGGTATATAAAATATTTTTGATTGTATACCATAGGAAGTGACACTATATTATATTAGCAATTATTAGGAGCAATTAAATGCAGATGTTCTTCAAAAGCAGACAGTAAAATATATTTGTAAAATAAATTCACTGTTAGAAAGTCGGCTTTACATTTATTTCTTTGAATCTGGAATCATTTTTGAAAGCTGCTTTAGGAGAATGTTTATGATAGATATGAAAAAAAAGGAATATTTAATCCACAGTTGATCAAAGAAAATATTTCTCAAACAACTTACCTAAGTTATTAGACGGCATTGTGAATTAATCTGGCTCTTTTCAAAAATGAAGTTCGCTACCAAAATACACATGTGTGTATATGCCATAGATGTGTTCTTTGTTTTCTCTCTTGACAAAAAGATCCAGCATTCCACTTCATGGATACCATATGTTTTATTGAAGAAATCAATGGACTCTTTGATGTAACACTATTTAGCAAGTATGTTATGAATAAAAACATGATGGGGAGTAGGAACACTAGATTTAGGATCAGCAGACACGAGGTTTATTTCACCCTATGACGTCATCTTCTCCTGTGATCTGAAAAAGGTTCCCATGTTTCTAGAAGTAGTTAATTTAGGGAAATTGGAAGATGCTTCCAAGGTCTGTGATGTGCCCAGGCCAATACACTTACTGCCATAAATATTGCCGTATCTGCTTTTACTTCAATTAGAAGTAAAATTGGAAGAGCTGTGACCCCACAGTCCACTTTCCAAAGCTTTTCTACTCTGGTAACTTTGCAGATGTCCTTCTGGGATACAATTGTCTCTGGATGGACTAGGAAAATATGAACTCTGCTCTTAAGTGTCCTCTTACACTGAGAACCTGTTTTTTTCCACCTAGGGAAATGCATAAAGCTGCTATCAGAACACTTTGCCGGGTATTTATTTGGTTTTTGTGAAAATAGACCCTGAACCTATCAAACATCAAACCACACCTCAATTAGTTTCTGATCAACTGTGCTGAGATGCAGACATAATTTCTTCTGCTTTCTTTCTGATGTACTTTTTAAGTTTGAGAATCTGTGACTCTCCAGGGTTTTAAATGACTCTGGCCTTGGATTTGTTTTCTGGATACACTTTCCTCGTATAGCTCCAGGAACTCCTGTTTTGACAAATTATTTCCCTGGACAATCCTCAGTGCTTTACACCTAACTCTGCCCTCCTTCCACATCATGTTTCTCTAGGGCTTGGGAAGCTGGTCTAGACAGGGTTGGGTTTCTGAAGTCTCTCTACCCAGTGCTGTGGCTATTTAAGTAGAAGTTAGATAGCCACATAATGGGCCATTGTGAGTGGATTTCAGGCCTTTATGAGGTTGGTAATGATGACTCTGTCTGCACATGCCAATTCTCTGATCTGATTCTGGTTTTCATTCCAGAGTTAAAAGACAAGTTCAAGTTGAAAGACATTTTTGCAATGACACTTCCACAAAATCCATACTCCCTCCAGCTCTTTAGGCAGTTTCAAGTCCTTGTTCAGACTGTTTTTGGCATCTCCCATCACACATATTATTACAGCACTGTAATATTGAAGTATCTGGACAAACCAGGTTTAGTCATGTGGTATCAGTTTTCTTAAACTCTTTTCCTTCATGACACCTGCTGCTCACAGTGACCACATTCTCTGGAGCCAACCCAGTCTTATGTACAACTTATTTTTCTTCTTATTAAAGATGGCTTATTTGAACATTGTGAGTGAGTGTGGTTCTACATAGGAATATCGTTGAGATGAGTATGATTAAATTTATTTACAAAATAATTTCAAATATTTGTATTTATTTATTCTATTTGATAATTTTAACAAGTCTTACAGTTGGAAGCATAAGACTATCATGACACTTCAGTTGTAAAGCAATAATTGAAACCTGAGAATCCTCACCCAGGTTTTAATGGCCTGGCTTCTCACTTCCCCTTGGCAAATGGTGTTCTTTTGCCCTGTCTTATATTTTCTTGTTATAAATTGTGAATAATATTGTCCATTTTTCCTCTTCTATAGGGCTGTTGTGAGATTAAATTTAAATGACAAAGAACACATTTTACCATGTTCAAATATAATTGAAAAATGGGATTATTTTCATCATTGTCATGTTAATCTAATTCTAGATTGACATAAGATATGACCACTTTGAAAAAGTACTGTAAACTTTACCAGGTCTGAAGTGCCTTAATTATAATATGGTTCATAATTATCACTTGTACATCTGAAAACAATATTTCAAAATGATGATTAGCATGAATGGTAGATCAATTAAAAATAAATATTATCATGAAAAATTTTAAAGTCAGATAGTTACCTATCTAAATCATATGTAACTTATGCAATAGTCCATACGTAGACTCCATATTATGCTCATTAATTATCAAATACCTAAATTCTGAAGTGGTCAAAAATTTTTTCTCTTGTCCTAGTGTTTTGTCTCCATGTGGGTTTAAGGAAGAGTTCAAAATTAAGGATGAATGGTGTAAGGGGCTCTTCTGAAGTAAAGTTACATGAAATCATTGAGTTGTTGGCAAGATCTGCTAATGGTGGTGAAATGCCCCTGAGGTCCCATTAGCCACAGCTGAGAGCCTTCACAGAATTGGCCTGCGGATAGGACATGTGGTAGCACTTACAAGGCCTTATGCAAGAATAGTTTGTAAGTCAGCAAGATACACTGTAGCTGAGCCAGCTGGCATTTTTAATCTTACTTCTTCTTTCTTTGTGAACTAACAGCTTCCTGGGGCCCTGGCCATGCAGTTATGTCAGACAAGTGCATAGGTAAGTTTTTTTCCCCCAGGAAATCATATAATCATAGACTCTGAAGATTAAATGGATCCTACAAATTATATAATCACCCCTCATCCTCACCAATCTGAGATTTCAATTCCTCTTCAGCATGAAAAACATCAAGAAATACAGATTCAACGACGATACTGCCAATTCAGAAGTAAACATATTTGTTTTTCCCTCAGAGAGATATATTTAACTTAGAATAATAATATAATTAGTTTAAATTAAATTAGTTAAAATAATTATATAATTCAAATTTGCATCCAAAATTTTCCCTAAATAATAATACAATGTAAGAATTTTCCTATGATATTGCACAATCTTTTTAAATAACTCTGTTAAAAAGTACACATTAATCAAAGAGATGCACTGTATTTTAATCAACCATTTCTCTGCCATTGAATGTTCCATGTAGGTTCTAAATATTCCACAGCTCTTAATAGTTATATTGAATATATTTATAAATAATGACTTCTCTCTTTTAAAAATATTTTCCTTTAGGGTTTATTTCTAGAAAGAGTACTGAGGAGCCAAAGAAAAAAGAAAAAGTAATTTTTTTGTGGTTATTTCTAAATCACTTTTAGTAATTACATTTAATTCTTACTTTACGTACATTCTTCTCTTTTCTGATCTGATGCAGGCACTAACCACAGAATACGGGAATGCAATGAAGCTGGTGCACTTTGTTTCCATATATGTGTACATTTTTTCATTTTGGATAATTAAAAAATAAATCTTTAATACATTTTTCTTTCAAAGGAAAAGACATTTTGTCAGAATACATTTTATTATGTTTATGTTTTCTCTTTTCTTTGAGAAATTTGTGTCCTCAAATTTCCTCATTCTGTTAGTAATGCAGTGTCTTGTAACCAGGAATGATGGATGATGGATGTAATGGGAAGATGGGAGAAGAAGGCATGAGAATGCCTGTAGCAGAAACACAAAGGAGTGGGCAGGTCATTCCCGTCATGGAGGGATGAGTTGCTGCTGTTTGGTAATGGAAATTTCAAGCAACAAAGGCTATTAAGGGGGACATTTTTCATGACTGTTTGAACAAACATACATTAATACACATAATAAGTGTTGAATG